CTGAGCATACTGGTAGCCATACACCAACAGCAGTTGGCAAAGTTCCTATATATACCAAGCAGTCAACAGGAATTCAGGCCCACCGGTCTTTGCAGATAATGTACCGGCCTGTCAAAGGCATCAATGAACAGTCAATGTCTTTCCTGAGATTTCTCGGCATCACAAGTCATCCAGCCGAGTGTGCATCCCAACCAGCATCTAGATGGGGGAAGGGAAGCCCAAAGATTACACGCTACAAACTCTGAATATTTCTTTTTTAGTCATGCAGCCACCTACGCTCGGCACCACAAAGTCCCAGTGAGTCCGACAGGACTTTTGCAACTGAAAACCTGCCGGATTTCAGAGCGCTTTCTTTCGGCTGGATCATGCCCACGGCACATTAATAAGCATTCCACTCTTCGGTGGTTCCCACAGAGATGTGTTCAGAAGAACAGGGAGGGCGGGATAAAAATCAAATCAAATAAATAAATAAATAAATACATTTCCACTCCCATCGCAATCTGAGCCTGCCAGCCCTGGAATGACGGAAGCAGCTTGCTCTACAAACGACACAGCAGTTACGGAGTTAAAAAGCTGGGTGTCGGCAGCGTCCACTTTTTAAGAACAGAGGGTTTCAAGTTTTGCCACCATCTATGTTTCACTGCTCCTGGATTCATCTGCAGAAAACATTGCCAGCAGGACCAGCCACAGAACAGATCCAGATTTCAGACACCTCGGCCTGCCAGTTACCTGCAAACGGTGGCACAGTTTCCTTGATTTACTGTCGTCTTCCCCTTTTCCCCACCCCTTTACTGTGAATGGAGTCTATTAAGGTAAGCGCATCGGTGGCCACGGAACGCTCCCCCCCCCTCCGGAAAAAGACCCTAATTCCCCAGTGTCTTGTCACGCCACTCTTCAATAATAAGGGCAGGTTTCTCGCTCAGGCCGGACTTCGGGAGAAATAGTTGACAGGCAATCCCTGCAAGAGCAAATTTGGCGTGTGACAACCTAATTGCGCGGCGCACTTCGGAAGAGAGAAACAGGGTCAACAGATGCCGAGCAGCTGGCACCGGACTGCCAATTTACCCCCCTCACATTCCTGAATCCAGAAGGGAAATGCAGGGAATCAGACGACAGGGGCAGAGAGAGGAGGACTTAAGGGGGCAGAAGGTGAGGCTTGGCTTGGAGGCACCAGTCCCTCCACTGCTGTGCTTTAAGAGAGTGCAGGACTGAACAGGCAGAGGTCCACCTTAGGTACAAAATGTACATGTGGACCTTATAGAGGGTGGGAGAGAGACATGCCAAGAAAACTGCAAAACAAAAACTGGCAACAATAACAACAACAACAACAACAACAACAAAGAAACAGTTTTAAAAAGAAGACGTGTCCCCCCCAACTCCCCGTTTCTCGTCCTGGAATGACCTTCGGATCACGACTGTCCTAATGCAGAGACGGCCTTTTCTTGACACCCCAACGAAAGACGTGATCTCATTAAAGGATAAGCCAGATCTTTGCCTGAAAAGGTATATCCTCTGCACTGTCTCCCAGGTCCATGCCCGTACAGGTCAGTGGCTTATGAACCGGCTACTTTTTGATTGCCAGAAAAAGGAAAAAAAACACCAGATGCTCTCATAGCACATTGCCTGGATAAGCCAACTGAGTTCCCTCAATAAGTATAGTATAAAAAAAGGAGGTCTGCCGTGGCCATTTTGACGAAATTAACTTCAGTAAAGTAAAATCTGCCCTTTGCAGTTTTTAATAATGGCTGCTGTGTCACTTTTTTAAAAAAAGCCAACACAAAAAAAAGAGCAGAAGTCAGCCATGCCCCCTCTTGGCACTGTGGACATGATAACAAAAACCTGGGCTTCTGGGTAGGGCCCTCTGCTTCTAATCTGAGACACATTAGTAGCAAGTGTCCTTGTTATTAATTTATATTTGGCCTTTGAACGATGCCAGGTGGAACACTCCAAGTCCTAGAAGCGTCCTCATCTGACTCACAGCTATCTGGCTATTGCCTATACAACTCTAACAGGTGCCCTTTTCATACAATGTCACTTTATTTTTATGTTTTGCGAAGAGAGTGGCGCCGAGCCACAGCGTATGACAGTTATTATACAACCAGACCCTTCAATTCGTAATAATTTTTAAGAGGCTGAAAAGCAGCCACCGCACACACAACACTAATTACGGTCGCCTTCCTTTTGCCCAAAGATCACCCCACCCACCCCTCCAAAGGCTTCACAAAAGAGCAAACAATAAACTGCCTTAACCGGTGGATGGTAATGAATCATCATAATGAAGCATTGTTCTCCATTAACCTTTTGGGGGATTCACGCACCTTGGAAGGTAATTTTTTTAGAATTACAGTGTGTGTGGGGGGGGGGGAGACTTCCCATGCACCCTACAAATTATAATAACGGGAAAAGCAAATCTGTGGATCTGTAAGAAGTTTCTTTAAAAGAGTCCAAAGGGAGCAGGTGCCAAAAACACAAACAACCCCCACCTCCAATGTGCCGGTTGGAATCGTGCATCTTGGGGTCTTCCCAATCAGTCGCTGCACATCGCCTTTGCTAAACGCAGAAATGCTCTGTGGGGATCCTGCGTTAGCTATCAAGATGCACAGGCCTCTGCCGGAGAGACGGCCACCTCATTGTGGGGGGGGGGGCATCAGAGGTTAGGGAATAACCACTGGAGACTGCACAGAAAGCAAAAGATGCCGCTAGGACTTGAAATGCAGCAAAGACCGAGTCACAGATGCAGTACGCAAGCGGTAAACCAGGCAGGCTGGGCACAGGGCAAAGTGCAGGACAGTTTGGAAATGCCTTACCCCAAAGCCGAACCCCGCAGGCCACCTAAGTGGGAATCAGCGCCCCCCCTTCCTTCCCCCCAAACAAGCAGAGAGGGGTGTGCTGGTGGGTGGGTGGCGGGACTGCTCTCGGCCATCAACTGCATTTCCTTGTAACTAGCCCGAAATTCCTCCAGGAACTCCAGGGTTTAAAACAGATCATCCCCATTTCCACTGACGCCGGCTCCTCAAATCAGCCGGCAGCAGCCTTCGTAACAAAGCATGATGGAAAGAAGACGGAGGGGAAAAAAGGCAACGGGAGAAGCGGCAGCGGCAGCACCAGCACGAGAAATACGAGATGCCAGTCCACGGGATCCTCCCAGCTGCTCAGGACTCCTAAGAGCCCACAGGACCTATGAATTTCTCCATCTCTAGTCTGTTTTACCAAGAAGTCAAAACAAGGGACGGGCAATTACGATTTCCAGACAGAAGGCGGCCGGCGAGGTGGTGCACACATTCCATGCAAAGAAACAGAGAAGATGCAATCTCTGTTCTCCTGTTATGGTTTAAAAAAAAAAATGCTGAGCGCACAGCAATGCTTCTTCCAATCAAAGGTACATCATGATGCCCATGTTCTAAGGGATTCTTTAAAGGGAGAGGGGAGAGGACCTCCGGTCGAATGTGCTTCAGCTAAGAGGAATGCCGTCGGGGCTGCAGCTCCTGGCCTACACTACTTGGGTCACACACCCCAAACTTAGTGGAAGTTCATGCTGGGGAAACAGGTATGGGAAGAGAGTGTAAAAATGTGCCTGCCCTTCCGAGAGCTCATTATTATTATTATTACTTTAGATTTGTATCCCGCCTAGCCGGGGCAAACTGGCTCAAGGCAGGGTACAGGATCGATAAGAAGGGGATAGAAGGGGGTACAGGATAGATAAGAAGGGATAATCAAGAAGGGGGGGGTCCTTAAGTTGCAGGAACTTTCAACCAGCTCATAATTGCTTCCTGCCCACCCCCCATTTTGCACATCACCAAGATAACCCCTCCCTAAATTCCCACTTTTGAGACTCCAGAGATCGCCAAAAGGGGCTGCTATTTTCTTGCCTGCACGCCACCCTCTTATTATTTCCCCCAACCCACCCTGTGTAGCCAGTAAAAAAGAAAGAAAGAAAGAAATGCAGATCTGATGTCTCACTCTCTGTTCTGACTGAAGCCGCTGCGGGCAGCGCCAGCAGCAGACCCAAAAGAAGCCCGGCTCGCGTGCCCCCATCCTGTGATCTCAGCACCGTTTAACCCTTTGCGGGGAATGTGGGAATGAAGGGGGAGGAGGGGAGAGAGAGAGAGAGTTCCATGCAACCCTTCCAACCCAAGCAGCCTGGCATCTCCTCCTAAGCATTCCGGTCTGGTGGTTGGTGGGTTGTTTTTTTAAAAGCCATGCATTCCCACAAGACAACCAGCCACCCATGTGCAATACCCCCCTCTCTCCCCCCCTCTCCCCTAGCCAAGCATCCCCCTTCTTCCCACAGTGGATCTTAACTAGCAACTAGGAAAGAAGCATGCAATGATTTTGGCAAGTTGCACAAAGCCTTAACATGGCAGATGATAGGAAAGGATAGATACGAAAAGGACAGAGGGATGACTGATAGATGATTGATTTGATAGATAAGTTGGATGATAGATCAGATAGACAGGCGCCTTTCCCCCACCGTGCCACCAAATGCCCAGAGGAGAGCCTGGAGTCCGCCGGTTCCCCTTCGCATCTCGGAGCGCGAATATTGCACACGCACGGGAACGAAAGGAGAGCGCATAAAAATAGTTTCCAACGGCAGGGAGATTCCCCGCCGCGGCAGCCAGGAGATAGATAGATAGATAGATAGATAGATAGATAGATAGATAGATAGATAGATAGATAGATAGATAGATAGATAGATAGATAGATAGATAGATAGATAGATAGAACTAGAGAGGAGACCTTAAAACAGGGGGGTAAAAAACACAGGATTAAAGCGTGTTCCCATTCCAAAATAAGAGGGGGGGGGGAAGAGGCTTCCCTCCTCTAGCTCCCTTCGCGGTTATTCCGGGTTTCCAATAATAATAATAATAATAATAAATAATACGACTACTAATGAAATGAAATAAATAAAGCCAACGCAACTCAAGCCCCCTCCCAAAAGGAGGAGGAGGAGGCAGGCAGGCAGGGCGCCGGGGCGTGAGGCAGGGGCGCGGGCGGCTCACCTCGATGTCAGTCCAGGCGGCGTCCGGGCTGCACATGTCCCACGCCATCCAGCTCCGGAATGACGGCGGCGGCGGCGGCGCTCGCAAACTCCTCCACTCCGCTCCACCGCCCGGCCGGGCGAGGCAAAGCGGCGCGAGGCGGCAGCGAATCCAGGCGCAGGCAGCGGCGGCCGCCCAATCGCCGGCCCCTCACTGCCGGGGGGACCGCAGGCACCTGTCTTACTACTCTTCCCCGTCACGTGAGCAGGAGGAGGGGGGGAGAAGAGGAGGGGAGGGGGAGGAGGCCGGCCTGTCACTCACCCGCCCGCTGCTGGACGGGGGAGAGGGGGGGGGCTCCGCGGCGGGCGAGGGCCCCGTGACGTCACGGCCGGAGGCAGACCGCGGCGGGAGGGGAGGCGAGGCGCGGGGACGGCCGGGGCGAGTGGCTCCAGTTTGCTCCCCCCCCTCCTCCTTCCCCCTTGGCCGAACAGCGTCGATGGGGGCAAAGGTTCGGTTGAATTGCAAAAGGGAGAGAGCGAGCGAGAGAGGTCGCAGCAGCAGCAACACTGGCCCGACCTGGGGACCTCTGGGGCAATGCTCCCTCTAAGCCGTGGAGTCCTGTGAGCAAAAATTCTACTTTGTGAGCTCCTGACAAAATCAATGTTCCCTCTAAGCTGTGGAGTCTTGTGAGCAAAAATTCCACTTTGTGAGCTACTGGCATTGAAGCTGTGAGTGAGTGATTTGGCTACTGCATAAATTAGTTTGCTGTGGAGCCCTCCTTCCTGAGCGAAGGGAAAAATGTGTGAGCCGGAGGCTAAAAAACTGTGAGCTGGCGCACACTAACTCAGCTTAGAGGGAACACCGCCTGGCATTCAAGTGGTGAGCGAGCCATTTGGCGACTGCATAAATTAGTTTGCTCTGCAGCCCTCCTTCCTGAGCTGAGACAAAAATGTGTGAGCCGGAGGCTAAAAAACTGTGAGCTAGCTCACTCTAACTCAGCTTAGAGGGAACACTGCTCTGGGGGTGTGCATGGGGGGGGGGAAGCAAATTCAACTGGGAAGAGGAGGTCGAGGGGGCGATCCCGGGCATGCGTGAAGCACAGATCCGGAGGCGTTCGGTCTGTTGCTGCAGAATGGTAAAAAGCCCAGCAGCACCTTCAAGACTGGACTCACGAACTTTATTTGGAGCATAACCTTTTGAGAAACATCGCTCTCTCTTCGTCAGGTGCATGGAGGGTATGTCCCTTCTCAGATTAGGACACATCCGTCTGTGTTGTCAAGCTCGGTTTCTGGTTATCATCCCCCCGTCGAACCCAAACAGATGATAACCAGAAACCGAGCTTGTCATTCTTTTGATCTGTTTAAAGAAATATCCTCACTAGTTTGCATGCTAATTTAACAAGCCCCCCTGTATGTGTGTGTGTGTGTGTGTGTGTGTGTGTGTGTAGTAAAAGTAAATGTTTCCCTCGCTCGAAAGCCAGTCGAATCCGACTCTAGGGTTGCGGTGCTCATCTCCGTTTCCAAGCCGAAGAGCCAGCGCTGTCCGAAGACGTTTCCGTGGTCATGTGGCCGGCATGACTAAACACCAAGGCGCACGGAACGCTGTTCCCTTCCCACCGAAGTGGTCCCTATTTATCTACTTGCAATTTCCTGTGCAATTTCTTGCAATTTCTTCTTCTTATACATATACATATACACACACACAAAAAAAAAAACTATGATATGTAATTCCGTTCCATTGTCTGACAAAGTGTGCACGCACACGAACGCGCACGCCTTGACTAAAAATTCATTGGTCTTAAAGGTGCCTTTGGACTCTTAACTTTGTTGTATTGCTTCAGACCCACCTTGATCCACACTACAGTTTGTTAGTCTCGAAGGCGCTACTGGACTCTTGCTCTTTCTTGTCTGGCGCAGGGAGCAGTGACTCAGGTTAAGCTCCTGCCTGGCCACAAGTGCTGTCAGTCTCCAAGGTGCTGCTGGATTCTCGCTCTTTCCGACTGCTAAATACAGACTAACCCCACGGACCCGTCTGGACATAACGCTGTTCGAGAGGTTTTGTTTCTGAACAGGTAATAGGATTGCACTACATGCATGGTTTTACAAACTTGCACAGTGTGATGTATTTGCTTATTTGCATTGCCTAAAGTAAGCTAGCCGGAGCTTCAGACACAAGCTCCATAGACTCTTAGGATCCTAACGCCTGCAGTCGGATTGGTTGCTGTGATGTGACAGACCAATTCGGAGAGACTCTGACTTTCGGTGGGAACAAATTCCATTGGTCCTAAACTCTCTATTGTGATTGGACATTACTGTACTAGGGGGTGTGGCCTTCACTAGTTCAAAACGTATATAGTTGCATCGTTCTATGAGTCTGGTTGTTGTGTTCTGAGCGGAATAAAGAAATCACTGTTTTGGAAACGCTGCCTCAATCTCACTATATAACACACAGATAAATAATTAGGGGCTGCTGGTCTATACCGCTGCGTATAGCTTATTGGGAGCAGGATCCAATTGATGCAATTTCTGGGCCACTTAATGGATCAGGGAGTCTCCAACGTGGTGCCCGTGGGCACCAAGCCAACCACTTTTCTGGTGCCCACCAAGTGTTTTTGGTGGGCAGAGGCAGGTACGGCTTTTGCCCAGCAAGGCTTCTGACTGACAACTGCAGATTTGATTGGCGGTGCAAATTTTTAAAAAATGTTGCTTTGACAGCAGCTGCCGCTGCAGCACAAGGACCTGCCCTGTGTGACTGAAGTGAAACTGCGGCAATCCTTTTGTGGTCGGGTCCACCTTCTGCGTCAGCCATTGCTACACTCACCATGCCGTATCAGAATTTCAGAGGTGCCCACAGGTTGGAAGGGCGGGGTAAAAATCTAATAAATAAATAAATAAAATTTTAAAAGGCTGGGGACCCCTGCAGTGTTCCCTCTAAGCTGAGTCAGTGGGAGCTAGCTCACAGTTTTTTAGCCTCCAGCTCAAGACATTTTTGTCTTAGCTCAGGAAGGATGGCTCCAGGGCAAACTGATTTATGCAGTAGCCGAAATCGCTCGCTCACGACTTTAATGCTAGGAGCTCACAAAACAGAATTTCTGCTCACAAGACTCCACGGCTTAGAGGGAGCACTGTATGCCTGTTCTTTCTGATGGTGGTTCTAGACTTCTAAAATCCTAACACGCTGCTTATTGAAATGCCACTCCGTTGACAGCACTGTGTAATCTGCCTCGAGTCCCTGGGGGAAAGACGGACTAGAAGTAACATAAATTAATAACTAAACAGTCCATACCTGCTGAATTTCTATCGACTTAGACCAGACTAACTCTGCACAGGATCGTGTCTCTCTGTATGAGAGTAACTCTGCCATCCTATGCAGAACTAAGTCCCGTTTAAATCCATTGGTTTCTCTGGTTTAGACTGGATGCCCCGAGTGCTAAATCACCAGCACCGATTTGGAATCCGGAGCAGGTAACAGGAAAACAATCCTTCTGCCTGTCAGAAGAATTACCTGGCAGGATCAGACCGAGGTCCACCTGAGGCCGCATTCTGCCACGGGCGTGTCAATAGATTGAGCAAGACGTTCCATTCTGCTGCTCGAACTGACAGCAGCGGCAGGAACCCCATGCAAAGGGACTCTCAGATAAACGGGAACAGAGACCGCAGCTCTGGGATCTTATAAGCGGCCCATGGATACACCAGCCTTCCCCTGTTGGGTCCCCAGCACTCCAAGGAGGCTCCTTTCAGGTAGACAGTCGTCTAGATAGACCAGTGCTTAGTAAAAGGCAGCTTCGTATGTATCTCCATATGTAAAAGAGACCACCTGCAGGGCCAACTTCTCCATTAGGCCCAGTGCCTGGGGGTCGTGATACTTTTAGGGGCCCTCAGAAATGTTTTAATTTCTTTTCAAATCGGAAGGGAGGAAAAAATGAACTTTTAGATTCTAAGAAAATGTTTTAATTTTTTTCCCCCTCACGTCAGTAAAAAATGAAATGTTAGGGCCCCCGAAAACCTATTAAATTTTGCCTAAAACAGGGGGGGAAAGATTGAAGTGTTTAAAGTTATATCAACAATAATTTTTAATAGCGACGGTATTCCGGTGGAAAGGGCCCACAGAAGGCTTCATGTGGCCCTCACTGCATGAGTGGAACAATCCATCGCAGAGTTTTATTTCAGTGAGTCTTCATACAATGACCGTGGAACCTTCTGCATGCCAAGCGGCTGGAGAGCTACGGCAAGCCCCTAATGCCATAACCTTTCTTTTAAAAGGTTGTATGAAGCTTGCCAGCCTCCAGGTGGGGCCCAGCAGGTTCCTAGAATTACAGCCTCCAGGGATCAGTTCCCCCGGAAAAAATGGCGGCTTTGGGGGGTGGACGGTGCAGCATCGGTTCCCTAATGAGGTCCTCCCCCTTTCCCCAAACGCCATCCCCCAAATTTCTAGAAATTTCCCAACCCTGAGTTGGTGACCCTAGGCAGGGGTCGTTTTGTAGAAAAAGAGCTAGGGGAACTCATTAGCATAACTCATTAGCATATGCCACACCCCCTGACATCACCGGAAGTGTGTCATAAGGCCACACCCCCTGACATCACCGGAAGTGTGTCATAAGGCCAAACATCCCGCCCCCAATGGTCCCGGCCGCCGCAGCCGGCCTTGCAGCTCCACTGCCGAGCCCCATGAGGGGCCCGGCGGTGGACCTGCAAGGCCGGCGGGAGTGCAAGGAAGCCCCTCGAAGGCCCTCCCTGGCCCCAGGCAGGCAGGGGTGGGGAGAGGCAGGGAGGAAGCAACTTACCCTCCCTCTTCTCCTGCCTCCTCCTGGCTGAATGAGGGCCGGAAGCGGGGTGGCCGGAAGCAGGGGGCGGGGCTTCGTCATGTGCCCCGCCCCCCGTACCTCACCCGGGGGAACTGCGATCCACCGCGATCCCCCCTGAAATGACCTCTGACCCTAGGTATGTTAAAATCCCCAGACTTAATGCTGGTTGTTGTTTTGGGGGGTTTTTTTTGATGGACATATACCTATATTAACTGCTTCCAACTTTATCCCTACAGTTATATAAAACGTAATATGTCAAAAGTACTTACATT